CCTAGTCCGAACTACCTAGTTCGAGCCCCGTGTAGCCGCGCTGCACGGGGTTCGAAGCAGAGGGGATTTAAAAATGGCGGCTCCCCGCTTATGCTAATGAAGCCCGGGAAATTCAAATCCCGGGCTTCATTAGCAAGTGCGGTATGCATACATTACCCCGCTAGTTCGAACTAGCGGGGTAGTGTAGACATACCCGGAGAGTTTAGCGCCGGTGATACAAAAATGAAGGGCCCAACCGCACAGCATCCCCGGGCTGGGAACAGAGCTCACATCCCCCAGGATGCCACACAATGGGAATGGGGGGTTAGGAGATTTGTGGGCTGGAGCCCCATAGAGGGGACAGGCCCCTGCCCCCCCTGAACCACCTCCTGTCCCGCAAATTACCTCTGCCCGTCACAGTCAGCGCGGTGCCGGTGCCCGTCTCCTGCTGGCCCTGCGGGTGGGTGATGTAGCAGCGGTAGAGATCAGAGTCCCTCTCCGTCAGCTCCGACAGGGTCACCGTGGCCTCCGCCCGGCCCTGCTGCTGCCGCTGGCCCTCGTCCAGCCGCCCCCGGTAGAAGGGGTGGGAGGGGTCCAGCACCGCAGCCTCCCCGGAGCCCCGGGCCCAAGTGACTTGGGCCCTGCTCCGGTTGTGGCTGGGGAAGCTGCAGCTCAGGGTGATGCTGCTCCCGGCCGGGGCGCTCGCTGTGGTGGGGAGCTGCTGGACCCCCAGGCCTGCGGGGAGTAGAGCGAGCCACGTGTCGGACAGTGGCCAGGGCCTGGGCCACCCCTTGGGGCCATGCGGTGCTGCGTCCGCCTGTCCGTCCCCCGGCCGTTCTGCAGCAGGGTCTGTCTGTCTGTCATCTCGCACTCGATCCCTCTACCCAGACCTTGTCCACTCTGTCTTTGGCACTTTCTGCCCATCCTCCATCGGTGCTGTCCATCCATCCCCCTTCAACTCTGTCCATCCGTCCCCCTCGGCCCTTTCCATCTGTCCATCCTCAGCTCTGTCCATTCTTGGCTTGGTCCATCCATTCCCCCTTGGCCCTGTTCATCCATCCCTCCTTGGTGCTGTGCATCCGTTCCCTCTTGGCTCGGTCCATCCGTCCGTCCTTAGTGCTGTCTGTCCACCCAACTGACCATCCAGCCAGCTGCCCATCCTCTACTCCCCCTGCCCACCCATCCATCCACTCGTCTGTCCACCCTACTGCTCCGTCCGTCCATCCATCTTCTGATCTGTCCGCCCATCCGCCCCTAGCCTGAACTGCCTGACTCGGCCCGCTCTGCCCACGCTGAAGCCCCGGGAATGACGTTTGCACATTTGTACAGCTCATTGCTGGGCAGCGCAAGTGACTGTGGGAGAAAGAACCTGACGCAGGGGCCTGAACCAAAGTCTGAGTCACGGCCAGGCCCTGTCACCAGCTGAAGTTTGCCTGCCAGCCTGTGTCTCTTGGCACAGCTAGAAGCGCAGGGAGAACGTAAATACATCCCGCCAGGCCAGGCCAGGGACACCCAGCAGAGCGCCTGATAAAAGGGCTGGAAACAAGAGGAGGGAAAGCAGCAGGGTGGACAGTGGCGGCTCTGGAGGAAGGTCCGAGGGGATGCACCAAACATGTCATTAAGGCATGAAGTAGGTACCAAAGTTGGTTCATTTCCGTCTATAAATGTCAGGGCACCTCCACTTAACTCCTAGGCCGGCCGAGGGGTCGTGAGTGAAATCCGTACTATCGACGGAGCCATGTCTATCGTCCTGGGTACAAGCACGTCAGCTGGCTACCGACGACTCAACATCCTTTGTTGAGCAAGAAACTTGACTTGGGCGTCTTATCAGAGTCTGCAGCGGCTCTCGTGAGGTCTGTTATGCTAGCGACCTGCGCAGCGCTGGCCCGATTTACTGAGGGAGCCTACGGAAACGCAGGCAGCCGAACGTGGAGCATCCCTGCTGGAGGTGACCCGTTAGGGCACCACAACGGCGCATCCTGAATGTACGGTATCGCTGTCCTGACCGACCGCAGCAACTGTGCAGCTCCTAGAGCGCTCGGGAGAGTGGAGCTGTGAGGAGGAAGTTGCTCTAACCCTTCACGATGGCAGACTTGACGGTCCAATAACCCACCCATCCTCCTATCCCCCCACGGATCCATCCATGAACCTCCCCCCCTTCTCCTCCGGTTCTCCCCCTTCATCCCCATGCTACCCCCGCTGTGTCTATCCAGCCGTCCTCTGCTCTCCCTGGATCCTGTGAGCACCTCTCTCGCTACACACCCGTATCTCACTCCATCCGTCTGTGCTCACGTCTAACTCCACTATTACCAGCTCTGGAAGGGGAGTGGGAGCTAGTGGTTAGAACGCAGGGAGCTCAGAGCCAGGACTCCTGGGTTCTCTCCCCGGCTTTGAGGGGAGCGGAAGCTAGTGGTTTTGGGGGAGGGGGCTGGGTTCTAGCCTGCTCTAGCAGGGCAGTGGGGGCTAGTGGTTAGAGCAAGGGAGCTGGGAGCCAGGATGCCTGGGTTCTACCTCTATCCTTCCTCCCTCCTCCCCATAAATCCGAGCTCATCTTACCAGCCACTGTTGTGGGGCTGAGGAAGATGCCGAAGCAGACGATGCTCCGGGCTAGTAACCGCTCCATGTTTCCCCCCCAGGCTGGGAGCTGCTCCAGGTATCACAGACCGGGAGGGTCGAGCAGCCGGGATGTGGCAACAGCCAGAAATGGCCGCCCTGGTGTGAGCAGCCCGGGCGCTCAATGGAAACTCTTGTGGCTGGCGAGGGGGAGGCGCCAGGTCACTGGGGCTGTGGGCAGGGGGGTGTGAAAGTGAAACTGACCGGGGGCCTTGCTCTCAGCAGCAGGGCGGGCTCGGTTCTGCCTCCCCGGGGCTCTGCGCCTCTCTCACGCAGCTGCTGGGCCGCCCCCCGGCCATGGCGTCCTGACCTCTCCTGGCTGCCTGCCCTGAGATAATCCCAGAGGGGCTGCTGGGTCCGGGGAAAGCCGAGGAGATCAGCTTTTGCAGGGGCAGCTGGGAGCTGAGGGCCCCTGGAGGGGTGGAGACCGGGTGCCGGGGTGGAGCTGGAGGTGACGGAGGTGCAAAGGGAAAATGGGATGCTCAGGATGGAAAAAAAGAGCATAATGGGGGGGGGAGGAGACGCAGCTGCAGACAGACAGAAAGAGGGTTACAGCCCAATGGGTAGATGGAAACAGGGCCTAACCACAAACGGTGCAGGCTGGCCAGTTAGGGCTTGCACATAACAGTGGTTACATAAATTTAAGTGCATAGTTACATAAACTTAGCTGTGTTTTACGTCATTTCAGAGATTTTGTTACATAAGCTTTGTTTTATAGCCGCGGCTAGGCCCTGACGTACACACTATATTACGTAACAGAAGATTCAGAGGGATAGCTGTGTTCGTCTGTAACAGAAAAAACAGTCCACATTCTCGGGTACGTCTACACGGCACTGTTATTTCGAGCGAAGTAGCGTTATTTCGAACAGCCGCGCGAGCGTCAACACAGCCACTCCGTGATTTCGAAATAATTTCGAAATCATGGACGGCTAATTCCGATATCTGTAAACCTCATTCTATGAGGAGTAATGTCTCTTCCGAAATAGCTATTTCGAAATACGGCATGTGTAGATGTTCCATTGCTGCTATTTTGAAATAGCCTTTCCCCAGGGCTATTCTGAGTTATTCCTCCCCAGAGCCTCCTGGAGCTCTAAATCGAGACCACCCATCTACATTAGGGACTCATTTTGAGGTTTTCCTGCAGTGCAAACGTGCTATTTCGAAATAAGAACATAAAACAGCCCTACTGGGTGAGACCAACAATCCATCCAGCCCAGTATCCTGCAAACAGTGACAAATACCAGACGCCCCAGAGGGAAGGAACACAACAGGTAATCCTTACGTGGTCCCTCCCCGTCACCCACTTCCAGAGAAACAGAGGCTAGGGACACCATTCCCACCCATCCTAGCTAAGAGCCAGGGCTCGACAAACCATAGAGAAATCCACTCGCCAGCCCCTCACTGTGCATGCACCAGACCCGCATTGCACATGCACTCAGCACCGGTGAACGGGGAGACCAGCTGAAATCTACTCGCCATGGGCGAGCAGATAAACGGATTTGTTGAGCCCTGCTAATAGCCATTGATAGACCTAACCTCCATGAATCTATCTAGCTCTTTTTTGAACCCTGTTAAAGTTCTAGCCTTCACCACATCCTCTGGAAAGGAGTTCCACAGGTTGACTATGTGCTGAGTGAAGAAAAACTTGGTTTGTTTTAAACCTGATGCTTATTAACTTCATTTGGTGACCCCTAGTTCTTATATTGTGGGAATAAGTAGATAACTTTTCCTTATTCTCTCTTTCCATCCCAGTCATGATTTTATAGACCTCTATCCTATCCTCCCTTAGTCTCCTCTTTTCGAAGCTGAAAAGTCCCAGTCTTTTTAATCCATCTTCCTATGGGACCCGTTCCAAACCCCTCATCATTTTAGTTACCCTTTTCTGAACCTTTTGAAATAAGGTTCTTTAATAAGTATTTCTTCTGGAACAGCTTATTTCAAAATAATCATGCAGTGTAAACTTAACCCTAATGACATAAAACACCAAGCATGGGGTACTTAAAAGCATTTAGTATCCACTCTGTCAGCTTCTTTTAGCATGGACATTCTGATAATTTTTTCCCCTTTTTTCTCTTTCTCCCTCCCCCTTCTTTCTCTGTTCTTTATTTGTAAACTGGACCCTGGAACTCCTTTCATCTGAAGAAGTGGGTTCTGCCCACGAAAGCTCCTGATCCCATCGACAGGTTTTGTTAGACTCTAAGGTGCTGCAGGACTATTTGTTGTTTTTTAAGTTTTTGCATCTTAGAAGTATAGTCATTTAACTTGGTAGGTTCCTTTGCAAGAGAAATGGCTCTCTCTGAAATGAACTTCCCTTTATGCAAGTAAGAAATGCACGAATGTGTCAAGAGACATAAGATGCCGATCTCCTCCCACCCCTGATGGTCAGAATGGTTAACAAAAAGGCGTGAACTCAAGCGGGGGTCGTATACCAGTTGGCCAAAGAGGGGGAGAAGCAAAGGCAAATTCTTGTGAACAAGAGAAACCAGCTGCAGCGACTCCACGGAGATGCATCGATGGAGCATGGGGAATGGAACCACCCTCAAAGAAAATGCCAATCAGCAAGTAGACGACTCCTGCATGATGCTGCAAAAGCCATAAAGTTGGGACTCCTCCTTTTGAAAGTGTGTGTGTGGGGGGGGATTTTGCCCTGAAACGTGGACTGAGTCCTGTGAAGATGATTTCAGGGCATCCGCTCGCGACCCTTCCTCATGCTCCGAGTAACTGGCCACCAAGCTGGCACATGCACCGATCAGATGAAGCACCAGCGGCGGGAGGTGCATGTGTGCAGAAATGGAGGCAGATGCTGATTTCCCTGCTGTATTTGCAATCCATGTGGCATGTTGCCTCTTCCCCCAAAAAACATCCTGTGTGTTTCTTACAAGCATACAGACCAGCTGTCCCAGTGCGACAACTGAGTGCTGATGGGGAGCTACGGGGAGATGGGGTCCCTGTTCCTCCTTCCCTCTTCCGCAGCTCTGAGTAGAGGGGAATCCCCCAAAACTGTGGACGGGATGGGGCCCTGGACCCATGGATGAGGAGAATGATCCATGCCACTGGGGGGGGCGGGCGCACGTGGTCCCAAACATGCACTCAGCCGTCTGCCACATCTAGCAGAACAGACAGACACCAGCTCCTCCTCCTCCCCTTATCTGGCCCATCTCAGAGGTGCTGACCACAAACGCTTCCATCTGCCCTTGGAGCCTGATGCTGCTGGAGGTGGCTGAGCTGAGCTGAGTTGGCCCTGCAGAGCCGCCCAGAGAACAGGGACCATGGAGCAGCTGCCAGCCCTGAGCCCCGTCCTCTGCATCCTCCTCCTCTTCCCCATCTGGGCAGCAGGTATGTCGGCAAACCCCGCCTAGATAGCCCGAGGGCCAGTCTGTCCCCATTCCTACAACCATAACTAGCCATCCCGTTTACATACCCACCTCTCTAAACTAATCCCTCCACCCCATCCTCTGCTCCGAGTCCATCCCTGCTCCTGCTGCCTCTCCTTCCACCATTCTCTCGACACTATCTCTCCCATTATCCTTCTCCTTACAGTATCTATCTATCCTCCCCTGCTCTTGAACCCCACAGAGACCTTTAGCTTGATATAAAGGCAGCATGTGGCGCCAGTGTAAACTAGACTGGGTTTCACATCGGATTAGCTGACGGGGACTGCTGTGCAGACATCACTTCCTCAGTGAACGTGGAACTCCTTGGCAAGTGCATGTTCAGGGAGCCGCTCCGTGCTTCTACCTCAGGCTGCAACAACTGGGGCTTTTCGCTTTGGAAGTGCCCGGTCTACTCTGCAGGCTGCTGGCCAGGACGGTGGCCCCGGAAATGCACTGAAGTCTTCCCCCTGACTTGAAGGGCAGAAGGGACAATTACAACTCCCTCGTCCAACCCCTGCACATCGGAGGCCCCACAACCTCACCACTCGCTCTTGTTTTTCCCCATTCAAACGCAGATGGCACAGAAATTCTCGCCGGCTGCAAGAGACCGATCCAAAACATCAGTGGGTCTGCCCAGAGTCCAGGTGAGCTTGCTGTGGAGTTTGGGGATATGGCTTTTGATCAAGTGACCAAAATAGCAGGATTTATCGAGCATCTGGGATTACAGATCTTCCCTGGGGACAGATCCATGTGGCGTTAGGGAGTGTGGGACTAACATGGAGGACAGAAGAATGAATTGACCAACAGGGGTCCAGGAAGGAAAGGCTGGATGGAATGGATTGACCAATGGATGGAAGGGTCTGTGATCACTGGATGGGTGGATGTAGGGTTAAAATATGGATGGATGGATGAGAAGCAGAGAGACAGATGCTGCTAACAAATTAGGGAGGGGGGAGTGGACTTCTGCACTCAGGAACACAGTGACTTATTCTCTCTCCTGAGCCCAGGGCGGGTCTATCCCATCGCACGGGTGGGCCAGTGTGTGATGCGGGTTCTCTCTCGTCCCCAGATAATCTGAACGTCTCCCAGGAACCCAGGTCCCTCAACTTGACAGTTGGGGACCACATGACCCTGAATTGCACCTTTCAGATCAGAAAGAACGACACAGTGAATGTGCTTTGGCTTGGTGGAACTGGAGAAGACTGGGGGCGGGTCTATCCCATCGCACGGGTGGGCCAGTGTGTGATGCGGGTTCTCTCTCGTCCCCAGATAATCTGAACGTCTCCCAGGAACCCAGGTCCCTCAACTTGACAGTTGGGGACCACATGACCCTGAATTGCACCTTTCAGATCAGAAAGAACGACACAGTGAATGTGCTTTGGCTTGGTGGAACTGGAGAAGACTGGTGGGATAGAAAACAGGAATGGGACGGCAACCCTGACCCTGTTTAAGCTGGAGCGGCGGGACTCCGGCTTCTATTACTGCTGCATCAAAATCAATGACAGAGCAAAGACAGGAGGAGGCACCGAGCTAACAGTGATGCGGAGAAACCAAAGTGTGACTGGTGAGAGGCGGGATGCGGGACGGGGCATATACCCCCTGAGAGGCTGCTGGCTCTGATCCGGCCCCACTGTGGGGAACTGGCTGACTCGGGGGGTGGAAAATGGGACATGGGGCTGGCTCCTATTTCGACTGGAGATGACAAATTCCTGTGTGATGCTTGTACGGAGGCGGGTTGTCAGGTTTAAATTAAACAATCTCCTCAGCTGATGAGAGGTAGTTTTTGTGCCAAATTCTCGCGGGCAGCAGCTCTGGTCTGGCTCATGTCTTGCCGGGATCTGGAGGGAGGGAGGGGGAAAGGAGGAGGGAGTGGCTGGAAACCCAGCCCCACAGTTCTCCCGAGAGGCACTGGACACTCACAGATGGGAGATGTGTCACTCTCCTACTTTCCTCGCTATTGGCTTTCTAGTCTGCAGAAGATGAGGCTATAATTCAGGCCCCACTGACTCACTGCAGGGTGACCAGATTCGTGGGCAGCTGTGAAGGGCTTCGCAAGATGTGGAGATAGGGGAAGTTCTCTCGCCGCGTTTGCTGAAGAGGAAATTGGTCACTTTGTGCAGGGGCATGTGAGAGGTGCACACAGTCCCTGAAGCAGAGACACAGAGAGGCCCACACAGATACAGGAATTAACAAGAGACCCATAGCAAGGCAGGCACACATCCAGAGAGAGAGCAGAATCACCCTAGGACCCACACGGCACCAGCCTGCATTCTGCTGCGCCCCTCTCTTGAGATTCTCTCGCGCGGGCCCCAGGTGGGAATGGAAGGTGATGACCACTAGCACAGAAGGGCATCTGGCTACGTCACACGCCTCAACATCCCAACCGGCCTCTCCTGTGCCTCCTCAATTTGGGACCAACTCCACAGACATCCCTGGGGTTGCTCCAGATTCGCTGAGATCAGAATCCAGATTAACTCCTTTGCAGTCAGCGGGCTGACTCTGGATTCACACCACAATCACTGAGACAAGGCCACGATTGCCTGAGCCTCCGGGAGTATCAGTCCAGATTTAGATCAAGTTCTTGGAGATCAGACTTCAGCCCTGATTCTGCTGATGTCCTGGGAGTCACTCCGGATTCACACTGGGTTCAGCAAGACCAGAATCTAATGTGACAAAATAGTACGCTAGAAACAGCTTCCTAAGGCCCTTCCCAGCAGATTCTTGCCAATGTTAACACCCTTCCTTTTCTTTAGAAGACAGAAAGGAAGAGACTCCAGATGCCGGCACTGAACTCACCGTCTACAGAGCTGTGGTTGCTCTTGCAGGTGTCAGCATCGTCATCCTAGTTATTGCCCTCCTGCTGCGCAGATGCACAGGTATTTACTCTTCCTGCCGTGCTCCCTCCATCTCCCTGGGCC